CCTGCTGAAGAATATGCAGTCCTTCGCAATCCGCAACTGTGTCTATTTTCTTGTTTTACCTACCACTATTTATTTCTTCTAAAAAAGCCTTAACTATGAAAAATACTATAAGCTGTAAGAGACAGGAGGCATTGGTTTGTAGGTAACGAAATCTCTAGAGGAGCTGTGTAGATTTCCAATGTATTGTATTAGGTTGATTTATTTTTAGTCCTCTGCATTAGAAAGATTGTTATGTTTTCACTTTGTTTAGGTTGGGTTTTTTTTTCTCCTTCTCCAGGCTACCCACTGCAGAGCCATCTTTCCATGCCAAGACACACCCGCTGTGAAACTCACCTACTATGCAGAGGTAGATAAACCCAAGTCATGTGTGTCTAACTAAAGAAACTACTATAATGGGTGATTTTTTTATCTATTTGGTTTTTTAGCTGCTGACATGTGGCCTAAAATAAAAACAGAGAATATTGACTTTTAGGTTAATATAAGAGCCAAAATCTGCTTATGTTATGTTCCCTGTGGCACTTGTATAGCTTTATCTTTCACTTTATATATATATATGTGTGTGTGTGTGTATATATATGTATATATAGATATCGTCTTTTCATTCACATGGATCTTTATTTCCAAAAGCAAAAAAGAAAATATTTCTTCTATAAATGTATTTCTATATATTTCTATAATATTTCTATGGAAATAAATCTTTCTTTCAGAAAGAAATATGCTCTTAGGTTAAGAAGAGCTGACAGTAAGACAACAAAGAGCTCTGTAAAGTAAAAGTACTTGAAATGACTCTCTTATGTGCATGAAGTAATATATTCTGGTACATAATTAGAGGTTCTTTGCAGTCCTGGCATAAATAGTCCGATTATTTTAAGGGAGCAACAAGTAAGATGTGCAGTGTGACATTACAGTTCAGGAGTCTGGAGAAATTGACCTTTAACTGATGTCAGAGGTAATCCTTCTGTTTCATTAAATATTGCCAGCCTCGAAGACAAAATTTGCTGTGTGCCTTATATTCTACTTGCACAGGACTTAACAACAGAACAAATCTTGGTGACTCTTCTTGCTGTAGCTGCTTCTAATGTACTGTATAATCCTGTGTGCCAGCTGAGTCCCTCACTGTTGGGTGACCTTTCAGATATCTGTTCCTAAGGAACTGGTGGCCCTTATGAGTGCCCATCGCGAGGGGGAGACGCCTGACCCAGAGGACTGCGGCCGGAAGATCTACCACTTCAGTCAGGACGTGAGTGCTCCAAGCTAGGAAGCGGGTGTCCCACCAGAATTCCAACCTCATGCAGCTCACAGTCACCTGAGATGCGGTTTTGATGTCATTGACAAATCATGTGATTTCTGATGGGTCTTCACCGTTACAGAAATACGAAGTATTATGAATCCCCGACTCTGAAAAGTCAACCAGTGGGTGCTGGTGATGCTTACTGGTCATTTTGGGGTTCTCAGAATAGCCAGATTTGAGTTTTGAAAATGATCAGTAATACTCGAAGCTAGTACTGTCAAAACCCTTTGTCTCCACTGATTCTTAGGAAGTAACCCATGGATTGAGTAATGTGGGAATGAGTTTTGGAAAACAGATCTTGCTAATTTTTAACTTGACAAGACCTTAGCAGTGAAGCTGGGGATTGGAATGAATTTTTATATAAAATAAAGATTACCGTTCTCAGGATGAAGTTTTATTAAGTGGTGCAGCTACTTTCATGATTCCACTGCTCCTAAAGTGACAGTCTCAATTTACATGTCTGCCATTTTTGTTCTCACTACTTTTTGGGTTACGGTTATGATGTTTGTGGGATCTCTTGGTGAGCCTAGTTCACTTTGCTGAACAAGTGGATGAAATTAACAGAAGTCCAAAAAAGAAATTATTTTACTGAGCTGATCTGGGCTGCTGAGGATCTCAATGAGTACAACGAGGGATCAAATAATAAGTGGAGGAGAGGAGCAGAACCTACTCTGAACTACAGCAGCTGTTGGCTGCTTTGTGAAACCTGAGAGAGGCAAGAGGGGAGAGAGAGGAAGAAACCTTGTCACCTGATCTGTGAGCTCTTCAATACGCAGCGTTTGGCCTTCTCTGTGCAGCCCAAACATTTGGTGCTCTCAGTTGTGTGCATAAGGCTCTGGGTTGTATGTTATCCAGAGCTGTGTTATCTAGAAATATGCTGTTGATAAGGTTGCTTGGACCTGTACACAGAATAATATTTGGAATTATACTACACTTTCTATTATAGAAACCCATGAGATTAATTTGTTAGAAGAGCTGTGTCTTTCATTAAAAAAGTCAAACGCGTTAAACACAAAATATATAAGTTAAAAAAGACAAATGCATTGCAAAAGACACAGATATCCAGCATACAAAACCATGAGATTGATTTGTTCAAAAAGGCAGGTGTTAGATGAAAAAGGCAAATTCATTGATATGTGTGTGCTGAACTTACCTAAAACTACTTTTTTTTTTTTTTTTTTTTTCACTCCTGCTCGGCCAGGATGGTAAGAAATATAGTGGAGAGCAGCCTCTGTAAAAATGAATTTATAACCCAACAGCCATTGAGATTTGGAGTCGTTTCACATTTAAAGTAACTTCACATTTTCAAATTACCATAGTTGGCATCAAAATCTGGAGATATATTGGCAGTCTCTTAGTAACACCATTCTATAAAACCAGTCAATGGACATAAATCTTTTCAGTAATATATTGTGTGTTAATATGCAGAATTAAAATGCACATGAAGATATGGGTATTTTAATAAACTATATTGAAATGATTTGGGGATCGTGGTGAAACAAAATTTTCTGATATGTTGTCTCCAAGTAATTATGATTTAAAGTCTTATTTGTTTAATGTTGTTTAGTCAGAGAAAATGGAACTCTTAGAGAAATAGGTGTATTATCCCCTTTTGTTTCCAGAGCACTGGGAGAAAGCATTTCTCTATAAGGATACTGTAGCTTTGGATTTTTTTTTATTAAAATAACAAACATTTTAAATTTTTTCATTCCAAACATGGAAGTCAAACATATCTTAAAATTTATTTTTCTCAGTCTTTTGTATCCATAAATATTCTTGCTTACTTGAATTCATTAAAGCTCTTCCTGCATCTTTCTGTGTGATAAGACTGCCCTTTATCTGAGCAGTATCTCTTAACTTCTCCTTCCACTAGATTTAATGGAACTGGAATGAATATGGAAAACTGACTTTCTTCTGAACAGAAACCAAACCAGTGGCATTTTGCATGCACATTTTTTTTGAAATAGCAACAATACTTAATGTTGTGGTCTTTGGATGAAACATTTGTGAAACAAGTACTTCTTGGAGATAAAGGAGTATAATTTGTGGAGGAAAAACAATGCCTTTAGTATAACATAAGGCAGGAAACCATGGAGGGAATGTGCACACCTCTTTATTTACATACCTTTATTTTTATTTGAATCAGTGGTGTTATATTACAAATAAGATCATATTACAAATAAGATCTTGGTTTTTCTCATGTTCTCCACTAGGTTCCCATACCTTGTTACTTGTTTGCTTTAGTGGTTGGAGCTTTAGAAAACAGGTGAGTGAATCTGGGTGAAGTATATATATTAATAACTTTCAGAGTTCTCTTATTTCTTGGTCTTGTTCCTAGTTTTAAAAGATCTTAGCAATTTAATAAACCTGTTTATTTATATCAAAGTGCCTGTATATTGATTCACTTTTGGATAATTTTTTTCTACAGAATATAATTTTGCTGTGAGTTAAAGAAATATGAAGAGTTTGGAGTTCATTTGAGCCACTAAGGGTTTTTTCTATCTCAGAGAATAGTATCTTTTCCCTCAGGTAAAAGATAAGCCTCATCATGTACAAAAGGCAGAGAATTATAGCTTCAGCCTCATTGCTAATCTGCACAAAGATGAGTTAATCTAGTCCATAATAATGCTTTTATATTAGGGCTTCACAGCATTTTAAAATGTGTAAATATATTTCCTATTTATTTTTCCTCTACAGTGGATGTGTGTGGTTTGTTTTGTTTTCTAAAGCTTCACTGCAGCAGTTGAAAGGAAAAAGAGACAAAGACTCTAATGAGTTTCTTTAGCAATATGAATTATTTCCAGTTCATAGTCTCTGAGTTGTATTTTTACTTTCAACAGAAAGATTGGCCCAAGGACACTGGTGTGGGCTGAAAAGGAGCTAGTGGATAAATCAGCCTATGAATTTGCTGAGGTGAGTGATTAACAGAAAGATGTTTTGTAAACTGTCTCACATAGTATTGGAAACAGAACAGACTGTAGTTCAGTGTTCTGTTCATCTGCAGCTCTCCCCAAAGATGCTGCTGTTCTGTCACAACACAAAACTACTACTGATAATAAATACTGGTACAGTCTTGTACTCACTTTCCATCTGGGGCGTGCCAAGGTGAAAGAGGATGAAGTGTGGAACCCGTAGCTTGTTACTTGTTCAGTGTTTGTAGTCAGAAGTCATGTTAGAAACTAATGTGAATTCTTCTTTCAGGCTGAAGCTATGCTGAAAACAGCTGAAGATTTAGCAGGACCCTATATATGGGGACAGTATGATTTGTTAGTCTTGCCACCTTCTTTTCCTTATGGTGGTATGGAGAATCCTTGTCTTACTTTTGTAACTCCAACACTATTGGTGAGTGTAACTTACTAGTTAACTTTTATTAGTTACGCTTTAACTTAACTTTGTTTTCCTTAAGGTTTCCTTATCTATCAAGTGATGGATATTAATTCATAAATTTGATTAATCTTGCCCCTAGAATGAACTCTAAATGTTCCTGCCTCCTTTGGAGTTGGGTAACATGCATGAAACTGTATTAACTGATATGTTTTGAGGTTTACTTAAACTGACAACTGCCTTGTCTATTTTCCTCTCTTTTTTTTTTTAGGCAGGTGATCGATCTCTATCAAATGTAAGTGCAAAATAGGTTCACATCCTCGAGTAGAACACAACTTGAAGTTATATCTTAATTTCTTTTGTAATAGATACCTGAAAACTTGGCCTCTTTTTCATTCAGGGAATTAAAAATTGAGGCAGTAACTCAGGAAGTCAGAGTGAGTTTTAGTTCTGAGTAAACTCTGAAAAACTGGAGACATGCCTGTTTTGTATAACGAACAGATGAAAATAAGGTGGGTGCCTGTTTGCACAGGGGGCTGACTGAACTTAGCTGAGGTAGCTAACTACTACTGAGGTAGCACTTTTCCTGTCTTGTGTATAGGTGCGTTTAAAAGCCACACTTGAATTGATCTCATTGAAATTGTTTGTAGGGAACTTCTTCCTTTATATGTCTGTCTATGCATTAGAATGCGTGTTGTGTATGGTTTGTTTTAATGTAGAAATCATGAGTATGATCTGAGTAAATTCTGCTTTCTTTCTGGAAAGTTGTGTACTCTGGATGCTGTTGTATGTCTTTCTGCTAGACTGATATACTGCTAGAAAAACCAGAATATACAGTTGTCTTCTCCCAAGAGTACAGAAATATTTGACATGGATACTTTTTAATGTATCATGCATCATTATCCTACTAAGGATGACTGATTTCTTTTTGGTTGATAATTTAGAACATCCCAGCACTGCAGAAGTTGCTTAGGTGGGAAAGTAGTACTAGTTTGTCACTTGGCATGGACCTAGTATTCTGAAATGTGATTTAATGACCAAGTAACCTGCACTGAGCTACCAGAGGAATTAATTTTGTTGATCAGGGTGGCTCTGTGACTTGCAGGCTGGACATTTAAAATTATTTCTGGAGAACGTTCAGCAAGATAGTGTTAGTCCTCTAAATAAAATTTGTATGGGTAAGTTTAGAGAGCTGTAAATGCTAATTTGCTTTGGGTAATGTAGTGCAGTAAATGAGATCCTGTTAGGACTTTTTTCTTTCTGTTGGGATTTGATGTTCATTTTCCAGAGGAGTCTAATCAGTAAGGCTATCATTGTTTCCTCTGTTTTAGGTCATTGCTCATGAAATCTCTCACAGCTGGACAGGAAACCTGGTAACAAACAAAACATGGGAGCATTTTTGGTAGGTGTGATGTTCATTGCAATGCAAGTCATATTTTTAAAATTAATCTGTAAAGAGACCCAACTAAGTTAATTTTGCCATTCTATCAGTGCTGACTTTATTAATGTATTTCCAGGCTGAATGAAGGACATACTGTATACCTGGAACGCAGGATTGGTGGTCGGTTGTTTGGTGAGCAGTTCAGGCACTTTCAGGCCCTGGGAGGTTGGAGGGAACTGCAGAATACGGTAAATACTCAGATTAGCTAAAGCTTTTTGAAGGGTTCTAAGTTAGTCTGTAAGGATGAGTAGGAGTAAGGATGTAAGGAGGATTTTAACACTCTCTTGGTTGTTCTGGGTATGGCCAAGTTGCAATATTACCTGTTAGCATACTGGTAAATGGCTGAACAGTTGCCAAAATTACCTGCAGATATGACTATCAGAATTTCCAGTGCCTCATGTGTGTAACTGATTCCTTCATTTCCTGTGTACTGCATTATAACTGAGGGTATTCCTAATCTGTTACTGTCTAGGAGGGTTGTTTACTTTTGTGTTTAGGTAGCAAGTTAAAATTTTAGTTTTCAGATTTCCAGCCTGTGCTGTTTCCAGCCCTCTCATTTGGTTTGGGTGGTGCAGTTTGCCTGGTTTACTGTGAATAAATCCTGTTTCAATTTTATTCTTTATACCAGCTATTTAAATCAAATAGTCTAAATAGTTAATAAAGGGATAAATCTAGATAGTGCATTAGGTGCTTGTGATTATGACAGACATGACATTATTTAGCTGCTTTGAGACAGCTGGAGCACAGGGTGATTGGTCCTAACATCTTTCTGTGGTACATGATCAGACACTGATAAAATGAGAGAAAAGTTTAGTAAACTTACGTTTCACGCAGATTCGGAACTTCAGGAAAAAGAATGAGATGGAATGCTTTGAAATGAGGTCATCTTAGTTTTGGATGGATTATACCTTTGTAAATATGATTAGTAGTGATTTGCAAGAGTACTAGTTTTTGTAGATTAATGTATTTTCTTGTGATTTTGTCACAGATAAATACTCTTGGAGATAAAAATCCTGTAACTCACCTCGTCCCTAATTTAGATGGAGTAGATCCTGATGCTGCCTACTCATCTGTTCCATATGAGAAAGGCTTTGCTTTGCTTTTTTACCTTGAACAACTTCTTGGAGGTCCAGGTAAGTATTAGTCAGACTTTATAAGGATAGTTTCCCATTTTAATTTTGAACACTGAAACATTTGTCTTTTAACTGTTAGATGTCTTCATTGGCTTCCTGAAGGCTTACATTCAGCAGTTCGCTTATAAGAGCGTAGTAACTGAGGACTGGAAGAAGTTGTTGTACTCGTACTTCAAGGATAAGGTTGGCCAGTATTTAAAACTAGTTGCTTGAAACCTTTTAACTATGTGAAACTCTGGCATAGCTCAGGAATTGCCTCCTTTTAAGGACCGGTTCTTTATCTATCTTTTATCTCAAAATTTTAATATAATGTAGTCTGGAATCTTACAAAGCTTAATTTACATTATGATGCTTTTTGGGTTTCTGTTTTTTTTCTTTTTTTTTTTTTATAGAAGGGAATATTTTGTTTTGAATTAATCTATAGGATTCTCCAGGTTAATTGTAGGGATGTTAAAAAGAAGGGGAAAAAAATTAACCTAGTTTTTGTAGCATATGCTCTTCTCTAAAAATAACGTGTGAAATTGAATAAGAATTTGTGTTGCTTTGTAGGTAGATATTCTGGATAAAGTTGATTGGGACTCGTGGTTTCATGCTCCAGGAATGCAAAAAAAAAGAATGCCACCAGTGAAGCCTACGTAAGCTGCCATGCTTTTTAGTTCATCTTTTCCTTCTCCAGATTGCATGTGGCTTTCCAAACAGTCATATTTGTAAACAGGGTGAAAGTCTTCCCACAAACTTTTTATTAGAAAATGTCCTAGTACTATGTAGAAATTGATAGAGAAAAACATTTTGCTGTTAATGTTTTCAATTTTTTGTTCTGGTGGATATCAGTTTTGCTTTGAAAGTTGCCAGGAAAGATTGTGGTTTTTTTCTCACAGTTTGGTGCCACAGTATTATCTTTTCAGCTATAATACATGTGTGAACATATATGCACAGAAGTATTGATCATCTTAAGAGTGTATGAGACCGGGGGATATTGTCACCTATGCACAAAGTGCTTGTCTCTAAGACAGAAATATATTTAATCTTAATAGATCTTTTGTAAATTGTGTTGCAGTATTGAGATGGAGCCTACAGCAAACAAATGCGGAGCCATTTGAAAATAATTTCTAAGCATTCATAAAAAAATTACAGGAGCTTTTTGTGTTTCCAGAGTGTGACCCTTCTTATTTTATGTTTGACAGGTACGATATGACACTATCAAATGCTTGTGTTGCCTTGAGCCAAAGATGGATCAAAGTGAGTGGTTAAAGAACACTGAGGTGTCTGTATCTTGAAAAGCTAGGCCTGTTTACACAGAGCAAGCCATTCTCTTCTGAAAAATCATTTGCTGAGAGGAAGTGTATTTATGGTGATACAGTGGCTTCCAGGGATTTTGCATTTTGTAGACTGGCCTTTCATCCTAGAGTCTGTGGATTTGTTGTGACTTCTGTACATGAGGTGCAGTACATATTTTAACAAGGCACACAGCCAGCTTTTTGTTAGTCTAAATGCAGATGTCCAAGCAAAAATTGCACAATTATATTTTGAAATACCTATTAGTAACTTAAGTAACCATTCCCTTCTAGGCAAAGGAGAGTGATTTGGACTCATTCAGCTCAGCAGACCTGAAGGAAATGTCATCTCATCAGTTGATTGAGTTCTTGGCACTGTTGCTTCTGGAGGTAAATGCATGCCTGGGTTAACTGGATTCTGGTATCACAAAAGCAGACACAGAAGCCCAGGTGTGCTTTGGAATTCTGTTGTCTTGTTTTCTTTTAAGTTTTGCTAAAATAATCTGCTCTCACCATGCATAGTTACTAAAACCTTCAACTGTGCCTCATTGATTGTCTGCCCTTCAGTTAATGAGCAACTCATAGAGCATTTTGGATTGAAAGGCAAAAACAAAAATATAAGGTGTTTGATTTTGTCTGTATTTAACTTGAAAGCAAATAAGCTATAAATAAAACAGACTGGGAATACTTTGTTTTGAATGTTTCAGTACTACTGGGTGTGGGAACGTTTAGTCCTTGTCCCTTCCCCCATACTAGGAGCAAGTGAAAAGAACAAATACAAATATTAGTTGTGGTAAGCTTTTAATTCTTTTGTAGCATCAATCTTCTTGAATGAACCTGTTTATTTTTGAAGTATGTGGCTTGACATGTGCTGCTGGCTTATTCTGACTGTGTAATTTTCTTTTTCAGGCTCCTCTTCCACTCTCACATGTCCAACGAATGCAGCAAGCGTATGACTTCAATGCTATACACAATTCTGAAATAAGATTCAGGTTTGTTCTAGCATGGGAGTTTTTCTACTCTTAAATGCTTTCATAGAAGAAAGAGTCCTGCTTCATAAAGGGTCTCAGACACACTGTTATACAGAACTGGTGCAGGGGTTGCAGAGGGGATCTTATCAAGGTTTTATAAATATGTAAAGGCCAAGAGACAAGAGGATGAGGCCAGTCTTTTTTCAGTGGTGCCCAGTGATACAACAAGGGGCAATGGGCACAAATTTGAAATCTTTTTTTATGAGACAAAAGAAGTTTCTAAACAAGTAGGAAATGCTTCTTGCTAAATGGCCTGATTCTTGTGCCCATCCTGTTTTCTTCTATTTTGTTTTTACGTGTCACTTGTTAAAAAAAGGAAAAGGGATTGTTGAGGACATAAGTAATCTTTACAAGTTTTGCCACTGCTATGTACTCAGATACATTTGCAATTGTGATGGTGGTTATTCTGCCTTAACTAACTTAAAGTTCTTTCTTATTCAGAATATAAGCATTTTAAACATACAGTGTAGTTTCTGCTTCTGGTAACGATCAATTTCTTCTAGTTTTTTAAAAAACAAGCACATGCTGGTTGCTGATGATGTTTTGCTTGGAGTTGGGTGGGTAGGTTGGTTGTTTTCATCACTTGGTCAAACATGACAAGTGCTATGTAATTCAGTTCTGAGTGATGCTGCTGTAGAATAAAAGAAATACATAGCTGCAGAAAATAATCAGCCCATTTTTGAGAAACCTTGAGGCCATTTTTTCCTATTTTATAGAAAATGTCATTTATAGACACTTATACGGAATGTAATTCCCATGATGACACAGAACTACCCACAGTGTTTGTAGGAAGAGAATGTAAGATAACTAACCACCACAAATTAAAATAAAAGTGTAAATTAAAAAAAAATTTTTTTGTTCCAGATGGCTGCGCCTCTGCATCAAGTCCAAATGGGAAGAAGCTATTCCCCTGGCTCTGAAAATGGCAACAGATCAGGGCAGGATGAAGTTTACTCGACCCTTGTTCAGGTAAAAGTAGTCTCCAAATTGTAGGAGCTCGAGTTTTTGGCATTTTTAGTACAGAGTGTGTAATACTTGATGTTGTGAAGGTACTTATGTTATACTTGGAAGTGATGCAATACAGAATATTCTGTATTCTTTGAACAAGCCTTATCTTCAGAGTCGCTTTCCACTTGCTGACTCTTTTTAACAGAAGAAAGTTTAGTCTCCTGCTTTCAAGGGGAAAGTAAAACCTTGAGAAAATCTCCATTGTACCATTTTCTTAGATTTTTGTAATGGTGCCTTTTTTCTTCCCCCCCCTCCCCCCTGTCTCCCCTTTTACAGGGACCTTTACAGTTTTGACAAGTGTCGAGATCTGGCTGTCAAGACGTTTCTGGAGCATAGAGCCTCTATGCACCCAGTCACTTCAATGCTTGTGAGCAAAGACTTGAACCTGGATCAGTGACAAATTTACCAGTTTCTTTGAAATTTTCTTGTTGCTGCAAGAAGAGATAGATGCCACAAACCGTTATGTGTGCTTGATTATGCCATAAAAAGATCTGCTGCTCTGGTACTACTTTAGCTTTAAATGAACTTTCCAAATGAAGTTGGGTACTTTCTATTTTGCATTTCCAAATGGAAAATAAAATAAAAGGCAAATTCACTAAATCTCTGGAATTGGGAGAATGGGTTTCTTACAAGCAATTTTTAGAACACACAAAAAAGCTGTTCTGAGATATAGCCATTTGTCACTCATGGAGTTAAAGACATGGAAAATCAATATGTGGACGGTATGACTCTTTGTGCACAGCTTTTTTTCATTGTGACATGGTTGAAACCTCCAGTGTCTGAAGACTGAAAAATAAATCTTTCCATTGTCAACTTCTCTGTGTATTGATCTGTATGAAAAGTTTTGAAGTAATAGTTGTGGTTTATTTGTTCTTCCTTTGTTGTGGCAGAAATTTTTATTGTGGGCCTAGGAGGACTAGGGAGACCTAAATGGATCCCAGCATTGTAGTGTTGGAGCAGAATTTCCATCCATCCCTGTTTGTCATGGCTGTGTTACATTAGTCAATTCCCCACGTTAATCACAACAGGTAGTTACTCGTGTTGGGTCTTGTGCTGTGCACTAATAGTCGCCTGAAATACTTTCTTGTTTTCTTTTCTTAGCAAACATGGGTTTTTTACCAAATTTCAGATTTAATAACTTGCTATGCCTTTAGTAACTTAAATTGTTTTGACCCACTATATATTTTGTGGCCAGCAGATCAAAGGAGGTGATTCTCCCCCTTTACTCTGCTCTTGTGAGACCCCACCTCAAATACTGCATCCAATTCTGGTGTCTCCACCAGAAAAGGGACGTAGATCTGTTGGATTGAGTCCAGACAAGGGCCACAAAGTTGATCCAGGGGCTGGGGCATCTCTGATACAAGGACAGGCTGAGGACACTGGGATTGTCCAGCCTGGAGAAGAGAAGACTTGGGGGATCTCATAACTGCCTTCCAATACCTGAAAGGAACCCACAGGAAGGCTGGAGAGGGACTTTTCACAAGAGTGTGCAGTGGCAGGACAAGGGGAAATGGTTTTAAACTGAGAGTAGGTTTAGACTGGATTTTAGGAAGATGTTCTTTAGTACGAGGGTGGCGAGACTCTGGAAGAGATTACCCAGAGAGGCTGTGGATGTCCCTTCCCTGGAGGTGTTCAAGGCCAGGTTGGATGAGGCCTTGGGCAACCCAGTCTGGTTAAGAGGTGTCCCTGTCCATGGCAGGGAAGTTGGATTAGATGATCTCTAGGGTCCCTTCAAACCTAAGATATTCTGTGATTTTAAAATCTTCTAATTACTGCATGGGTGCTAAAGCCCAAGTCATTCTTTCCCCCATTTGAGTTGTTGAATATTTACATTTTTTTAACCCATTCTGGGAATTACCACAGTGATAAAACAACTTCGAGAAAAGGTAAAAAAAAAACATCAGGAGCCTGTTTTTTCTTTTAATTGTTCCAGCAGGCTGGTTCAAGTTAATGATTTCGGTGAAACGGTTGCAAATAGTGCCACCTATAGATTGTTTTTTGAAGTGAGTTTGGCAAGAACCACTTTGCCTAGAGATGATCAGTTAGTACACATTAAAATCACGTATCAAGGAGTAATAAAAACAAAAAGGAAAAAAGAATCGCTGTCTTGGAGGAGGAAGTTACCCAATACAGGTCATGTCAAAAGGCTTGGATTTAATAATAGCACTTAGGGTGGGAGTGGAGAGCATCTCGATTTATTTCTGTCTGAGTTTTGATTGATATAAGCTTTCAAGTAGATGAAATAATGTCCTTTACCAGGAGTTTCATCTTTTCATGCTGGCAGCCATAATGTAAATTAAGGTAAGTACATTCCGTGTTGGATTTGGTTCAAGGCATCCTGAGTTCTTCCATTCAACGTTAAGCTACATATGTCTAAGTAGTTTATATTAAAATGACAGAAAAATTAACTTCTAGGTGATTGAGGCTCAAAAATCAGTTTAAATTCTTTATATGAATATTCTGTCACTCAGCTTTTGAAAAACACCATAAAATACTGGCTTCTCTTGGAATAAAAATAGTGCAATTTGTTTCTGTGTAAAGAACTTACAGGTATTCTTGTGTTAATGACCTCCTGAGCCATTTGTGATCTTGCTGCTCCTCTGAATGAGTGACAACTTCTGCTGGAAAACTCACTGGAAAAAAAAATTTTCATTATTTTGGACTGCAAAGTAATGCAGTTTCTTTCATTTGCTCCCAAAATCTAATCGGGCTTCTGCTACAGCATCACCTGAATGAAGGGGGATTCTCTTCAGGAAGGCTCTGGCAGGAGGGGGTGGGTACCTGGCATTGACAGGTTCTGGTTCAAGCTGCCTAAAATAAAGAACCAGGGTTTTCATTGCAATGTTTTATGCTACTAGCGTTGGGATAACATTTTTGTTTTAAAAGCCCGTGTAGCATATATTGTGTTGTTTGGGTTCATGCTGCCAGATAATCCTGATTTTCTTGCTCTCAGAGCTAGGGGAAAAAAAAGAAAAGTAGTGGCAGGCCTGGTGTTTGCCAGTGTTGTCCTGCTCCGCTGGGTCAGCGTCGCCCACAGAGAGAGTCCCACTAGTAGGCCTCAAGTGAAAATTCCCTACGCTAAATCAACCCCAGGTAAGTGCACTTCATAGCTATGACTTTCTCTGGGAACACTTTATTATGAGCATCATGGACTATGAGTGTCACTGTTTTGTCTTCACAGACAAAGGTATTTTCAGCTTCTGTGTGGACATGGTTATTGCTAAGCTTTATTTTGGCACTATCTCAACAGGTATTTCTGCCCATCTTTTCCTCTTTGCATCTGCCCCCAAAGGAAGGGCCTCGGTAGTGTGCAAGTGTGGCCTAATACTTGTTGCTACTTGTTCTAGCAACATCTTCCAAAGCATAAGTGAAAAAGTAATGGAAATTCATTAATCTTTTCCTCATCTCTAATACAAAATTACATTCTTAAACTTCATCATGGGCCTGAGCAAAGTGGGCTTGCTTCTTCTACTGCCTGCTTTTATCCTGTTCTGGACAGAGACACAAGCGTGCTATAATCCAGTCTCCTTTCAGTCCGAGCAGCTGTGACCCACCCATAATAACAGCCTGAGGCTCTTCCAGCCCTGTCCCTCATGGAGGTTTTCATTAGTGTCATCTACTACCAAGTGACAACTGTTAACTCTTGTTAAACTGTGAAGTTTTTAGAACGATTGCATTCCAGCTTAGTCTGATTTATCTATTCTTGGTATGTGAGCTCCTGCTCCTGGATTTTCATTTCTGTATTCCTCACATGATCGTTGGAAGAAAATTCCTGTGGCAACTGTTGGGGGAGTTGCCTTTCCATGAAAAGGCTGTGTTCCCTGGGTTTGATTTGATTGGGTGAAGTCAGCCAAATACATTGATCTTGCTTATTTACAAAGGTGGGGAACTTTGGGGGTGGATTTTTGCCTCCATCTGATTGCGACACTGGGCTCCAACTAGACACTGCTCTTCGGGCTCTTGTGTGGTAGATGTAAGGCTGCTGTGCACTGCAGCCCTCGGTCAAGGGACAGTTTGGGAGGCCAAGCATGCCGAGATACACGGTGCATGTCCGAGGCGAATGGCTGGCGGTGCCATGCCTAAACGGCACCAACACAATCAGGTGGCTGGGAAAGGAAGCCGTGAGGCGGTACATGAAAAACAAACCTGACAACGGGGGATTTGCCTCCGTGGAGGAAGTAAAATTTTACATTCGAAGGTGCAAGGGACTTGGCTTGTTGGATCTTGATGATACAGTGGAGGATGCTCTAGAAGACAATGAATTTGTTGAAGTTGGTAAGCAAAACCTTAAGCAACGCATCACAAGAGTGACCACATGTTGGCATCTGAGTCAGCAAACTGTGGCTTAGTTTATCTGAAATTCTATCTGAGATAGTGTCCATGATTTTTATGGAAAAATGCCAACATGTTTTAAGAATATTTAGTTTTTGGGAACAGAACTATATAAGGTTTAGAAGGCATAGGATTCTATAGGCATCATTTATAGATGATGTCATATATAGCATATGCTTGGGGTGGGCTGTTCTGCTTTTGTATTTCAATACCTTAAATAAATACTTCCTTGTTATTTTGCTAGAAGTGTACAAATATGTTCAGGGCTGATAACTGCAAATTAATTACTGCTGTGTATTGTAATTAATATCAAATTAATTTATATGTAGAATGCAATCTAATCCTGTTTGTATTCATTCTGTATATTTCTTCTAGTTATAGAAGGAGATATAATGTCTCCTGATTTCATACCATCTCAGCCAGAAGGAGTTCATTTGTATCCTTTTTCTGAACATTTTGTGAACTTTGTTATAACTTCCAACATGTAATTTTCTAGATTTCCCTGTTCTTTCATCGCTCGTTCTTAAAATACATTGCCAGCTGTAACTGGATGGTCGCTACCTGTGAAATCCTGTCTGCCCTTTATTTTCCCTTACAGATCTTTCAGATACAGCAAATACCGAGAGCCAGAGCAGGTAGGAATCCCTGATGATTTTACAATGCTGTAACAAACCCTGCTGTTCAGCAGAGCGTGCTAAGAGTTCAGCCACCGCAGTATTCACAAGAGTAGGGGCTGTTAGATTGGCTGGTTCTAGGAATCTAAATTATAATATGCTTATTATGTTTTTGTTAATGTGTTCCATTCTTACAAGTGAGCATGAGCAAGTTTCCGGTCATTGCTGAGTTTTGGCTGTATTTCTTTATTGTTCTGGTTATTAAGCAACATTATCATGCATCCCAAACTAAAAGATGATTCTTTGGTGTAGTATATTTCTTTAGATGGCAACAGCTTAACAACGGAGGACTTGGTCAGTTTAGGAAAGGGGCTCTACAAGATAAAGGTAAAGATTCTGAATAACCATGGCTAAAAATTACATGTTTATCTTTCTACAGTTAAAAAATGGCAGATAAATTAATACTTTATTTCAACTACTTATGTTTTAGCTCACACCTGAAGCTGAAGTTAAAGTCAAAAAGTCACGAGAAGTAATTGAAAGGATCGTAAAGGAACAGACAGGT